GCATGTGATCAATTAAAATAGGTTAAGCAATTTATAGCTCATTTGTAAAACTTAAAACTTTTCATATCTATTTACATTCTTAGCAAAGAAAAAAACACACTAAACCATAGTCTACTCAGTGTACCCAAACGTTGTTATTTTGGTTATTGGCTTTAAAAGAGTGGGAGAAAGAGTTTGTATTTTGAACAAATTGGCAATGCTGCATACGATGTACTCAAACGTTTTACTTTGTTGGATTTTGAAATTATGTTTGGAAAATCTCTTTTGTAGGACTTGAGGGCACAACTAATAATGGTGAAAAGCTCCCTTTACCTTATGGGATTCTCATCAATGGTCGCAGTAATGGTGCAACCTTTAATATTGAACCATGTTTAACCCTTTCTCCATTTTTTAATTTGTCTCGCTTTTTCCTTACTCGTAAAAGTTATGATGCAATTTTTTTCTTCAGTAAAACATACAGATGAGAATATCAAATGTTGGATTACAAAACTCCCTCAACTTCCGAATCCAAAAGCACACGATGAAGTTGATTGAAGTCGAAGGGAGAAACACTCTTCCAGAATATGTTCTCTTCGTTCGATGTTCAGGTTGGTCAATCTTACTCAGTCCTTATAACAGCTGACCAACCTGCAAAAGATTATTACGTTGTAGTCTCTAGTAGATTTACCTCGAAGATCCTCACCACCACTTGTGTTCTGTATTACATCAATTCTATTGGACATATTTCTGGACCTATTCCAGATGGACCAACTTTGATGAAGTGGTCTTTTGACCAGGCTCGAGCTATCATGTATTGTTTTATATAAAAAAAATTTGTAGTAATTTGCAAGTAATCCGTGGTTGAAGGAAATCCTTGTAGATTATGAAAATTTTGACCTCTAAGTAACACTAAAAGCAAAAGCTTTGGAGTTGCTTAGTATTTCACTTCTTCTTGGGTTTGTTCACTTCATGCTACAAAGATGTCTTATTTTGTTTGTGTTGTAGAACCAACCTTACAACAAGCGGACCAAGGCCAAATCCATAAGGCTCATACCACTATGGTATGATAAAAATCACTAGAACAATCAGACTTGCTAGCTCTGGTGAACATATTAAAGGCAAGCAACGACACACCGTGAACATAGCATCATTTTACCCATCAAAACACTCCTTTGAAACTAGCTGACTACTTCAAAATTTACGGTGTATACAAACTTGAAAGCATATCTGACCAGCCCACAAAAGGAGATATTTTCCCTGCCACATATGTAATGCAAGCTGATTACAGAGCATTTGTGGAGGTTGTTCGAGAATCGGGAAAATATTGTCTAGAAATGGCACCTTGATGGTTACTCTTTCTTCGTTTTTGGGTAAGTTATATATTACTATCCAAATGTTTTCTTTTGGTTCCCCTAAACATATCAATACTATAAGCAAATGGTAACATTCTCTAACCTAGAAAGAGTCCTTATAAAGATTGAAATGATTGATATTGTGTGGATTTGACTTTACTATCAGAATGGAATTTGGGAAGTGGAGTAATTGATATATTCATATTATATCTTATTTCGATCCCATTTAGTTGTGTTTTTATCCCATATTTTCAAATCATTTACGTATTTCTAGGGGCATTTGCATCTCTTTTGTGTTTTTGAAGGTTAGATGGTAAATCTTAGAACGAAATGATTTGGACTTTAATTAGATGCAAAAGGATGGGGATTCAAAGGATATTAGAGTGGCACAAGTTGGTGAAAGAAAGTGTCCGATCGAGGGCTTAGAAGTGAAGAAAAAAGACCTAAGATCAGAAACCATACCGTGGGTCAAAACCGAGGTATGAGTGTTCCGAGAACCAAGCTTTTATGACCCAACCCGGATCAATACGGTCGATCCGGTTCCGGTTTTAGGGCTTATAAATATGATTTTAGAACAAGAAAAACCTAAGTTGGATTTACTTTTTACCTCTTTTACCCTTCAAACTCTTGTTGATTATTTATGCTTGGAACT